ATTATGTCTTACAAAATGTATACATTTTTTACTTGCAAAAGTATTACATCAAAAAAAAAACAATTTCATGACAAGATTAATAAAAACATATTTTACACAAGCCAACAATCCAAATTTAATTTAATGAAACTTTAATCTGTGACAAATTAAATGAAATTAGAATCTAAATAATAATTGTAATGCAATTTAAATGTCATTTGATCTGATCACAACACAGTTAAATTATTTTCATTTCATAATTTTCATTAACTTTATTTAATAGAATTTTAATAAAATAAATATTTTCAAATTAATTAAATTATATTCTAATGTCATTCTTTGTGAGGATGTTGGAATTATGTGGTTATGAATTTTATTATTTTTGCAATCGGTGTAAAAGCATGTGCACTCACTCTTCTCCGCAGCGTACGGCCTTCAGCACGCCCACGGCGGCGGTCGTCTGTCTCTCAAAACCCTGCCCGATGTGATCGGCGTGGGCTCGCGTCCGGTCCTCGAAAAGCATCTCGCGGGGCTCGCTGGCTCTGGGCAGATACTGTAGGTTCTTGATCTCATTGGTGGACCTGCAACGCAACACTTTACAATGTTAACCAGACACCAGATAAATGACCTCATGAGATCCAATATAACAAATATAAAAATTTCAAGTAGTGCATAAAAGCACAATAAATCGCGAGACAACGTAAGGACATTGACTGGTTTCATAAAGTAATTACTGTCCATACTGTAGTATTCGTGTGTTTTGGATTTGTGCCTTTGATGTGACTGCAAAGAACTGAATTAGATCCGGAAGTCAGATTTTTGGGAATTAAAAAAAAAAATGATTTGAAGCTCATATCATCCAGCACTTGTATTCGATCTCTTGCAAGCAAATCTGGTTGCAAAACTCTGGGAACTTTCAAAGTTAGAAACGTTCCTTGGGAATTAACAGAGGTGGACCAGGAGTTCAATTGAAAGTTGACTCTTATGTGGAACTTCAATGTAGCCTTTGATGAAGATCAATTGAGTTAGGCCTACTTTTATGCCATCGCATGTAGACAAGGAGAGCAGTTTATTTTGCATGGATGTCAGCTGATGACCAAACAAAATCTTTATAATTATGCATTAAATCCACAAAATTCTCATGCAAAGTTTCTGCTTTGGAGTACTTTTCAAAACACCATCTGAACTTCCCAGGGAAATTCTGCACTCTTTTGGAACCGTCCAAGTGAACACACCTTTTCCTTTTAAAGGGAGACTTGGGCATGTCGGCCATGGGGATCATCTGCTCTCCTGGTCGGACCCACATGATGGGGCCGTCGTCGCTCTCCGTGGGGCTTTGCAACCGCAGACTGGAGAAGGTTCCCCAAGGCAGAGTCCGCTTCGGGGAAAACACAAAAGTCAAGTGAGTAAACGTGGCAGCCCTTCTGTAGCCACTTCAGGCTTGCAAAATTCCAAAAATATTCAAAGTTGGAAACGTTTCATGAGAACTCAGCAATTTATAGGAATGATTGGAAATGAACCAATAATACACTAAATTTAAGGCATTCATCCTTACTCTTTCCAAATCTCCCCAGGTTAATTTCCTGTGGAAATGTACCACACAATCTCTGGAAAATTTACTGGAATGAAAGAATGCCTACCTCCAGAAAGGGAGAGTCCTCCAACATGCGGATGAACTCGGGGAAGTAATCCCCGACCTCCTCATCAACCGCACCCACCAGACTGACCTGCCGCATGGCCCCGGCCCGGTACGTTCCCTGGGAGTATGTCCGCTTCACCTGGGGGTGGGGGGGGACACATCAGATGTTGAAGCAGCCAGGAGGGCATCGTTAACTTTATTTACCAGTGATGCCAATGGATCAGATCACCACTACTGATTAGTTTGGGGAGTGGCAGCATAAAATGCTGATTGGAGCCCCCCTATTATTTACACATCAGAAGATGACAGGAAATCGACCTGATTCAAATTAGAACACATTAATACATTTCTTAAAACACGCTTTTCAAAGTATTGCTTTGCGCCCGTTGTCACTCTCTTGCTCTCAAGAAATTGAATCCTACAGCACAGGTGGCGCCAACATCACATTTAAATAATTATTCATGTGGGGTGGAGCTGCTAACTTAGGGAAAAAACAAACAAACTGAAACCTCGGCTCGCTGCATATTCATATTGTGGGACCTTCAGACGAACATTTTTACAGCTTGGGTGGAGTGTTTAATCAGCGAGCAGGAGGGGAAAGTGCTGACACATGTTGAAGGGGGAAAGAGTGAAAAGAGTGCTGCGGTGTGACAGGATGTGATGCTGCTGGATTCACTGACGGGTGACGGAGACGGTTCCGTTTAAAATACACTCAATTAATTGGTCAGATCCGAGAAATGAGTGGCAGCCCGGTCAGGCCAACAAAAGTGAACTTCACGTGGCCCAACACAGTCACGTGGTGGCCTCGGGCCACCATTATTGTGGAACCCTGTATAATGACACTTTTGATGCTTCAATCATTTGAGTATCAATTGGGTATCGTTTAGCGGGTGCAGACAAAGAGGTGAGTGACATCTCAGCGCTGCAAAAGACAGTTAATACACTGGTTAATTATAACTGACAGGTAGCGCCAAAATCTAGAAGTGGGGTCCAAACTTCATTTGTTACACCACACCACAGATAACTGCATAAGTGGGGAACACTGCAACACAAACAGGGGTGTCAAACTCATTATAGTTCAGGGGCTGCTTGCTGCCTAATTAGATGTCAAGCGGGCCAGACCAGTAAAATGAGAGCATAATTTGCTATAATTAACAAGTCCACATTTTCCCTTTTGGTTTTATGCACATAAGTACAATAGGAAAATCTTGATATTTAATGATAAATCCTTTTTCAAAACATATCATGAACAACTGCAGATTTCTTCACAAAAACATGAGCAACTTGCTTCTGATTATCATTTACATCTTGGCCACGGTGTTTGTACAAATGCAAAATGAGTCAAATAAAATTATGGGAAAAAAAGCAACTCCAAATAAACAAATATTTAATCCTCCTGGGTCCTAATGAACCAATCTGTTTTGACTCCCTCCTTTCATTCTTTGTATCTTTTCATCGCTCCCAGATCCTTTCCTTCTTCCTTTTTTATGACCTCCTTTCTTTCTATCCGTCCTCCCGCCTCCTTTCCTTTCTCAACGCAAGGAACTCCTTAGTGACGCTGAGTGTCTCATCACTGTAACTCCACAAATATGGCCAGTTGAACGTCTGTAATGTCAGTGGTCTCATCAATTGCAATAGAAAATACAAGAAATGACTTGCCGGTGTTTCACTGGGCAAATCTGAAAAAAATCCTGCGGGAGCCACGTTGGACCCCATGCCGGGTTGGTTCTGGGCCGCAAGTCCTATGTTTGACAACTCCAAACTAGGGGGTCCAATTTGACCCGCAGGATGAATTTTGAGAGTGAAGTTTTCGTCAGAGTTGAGCGGGTGCACTGTTCGGGGAGCAGAAGACTGAACAGCAAATAAAAGCAGATGATAGCAGTACGCCTTCTGAGAATTATGGCGTAGCATCAAAACAACATTCAGCGTAATGTTGAGCTGCTGCTTTAATTATTTAATTTCATTTGTTTCTACGCCGGCCGGTCGAAACGGTTTAACGTGACACCTGTCTGTGGCGCAAAGAATGTTGGGAACCGCTGTACGCTGCTGATGAATAATTATGCCATCAATTAACTGACATTGACTAGACTTCTGTCACATTAGAATTGAAAGCAAAACAAAAATCTTGAGTCGTTCAAGCCCTAATTAGAGCTGAAATATCAGATTCGATGCGTGTTTTTCTACATACGACGTCATGACGCATATCCCAGTTGTGCCACATGACAGCAAAAACTCCAAATGTGTGACTTGAAGTGTGGTGGGTAAATCCAACCTTTATTAGAATTATGCTTTTAGTTTGCACCGAGTCACACTGTGAGGTTTTTTTTTCGAATACAACAAGAATAAGAGCTTCAGATGCAACTCTCGTATTAGATATTTATTCGTGCATTTGGACCCGGACTTTTTGGCAAAGTCTATTCCAGTGCTCTGACAGCTGGTGAAGAGAGCAGCCAAAAATTTTTTCTTAAACGCTCACCCACAGCTACTTTGCCAAAAATCGACCTCCTTGGGGCATACACGAATCGCAAATCAGCTCAAGTAAAAGAATATGCTAATAATGAAGAGCCAGGAGAGAGCCGTCGCGTTGGTGCACAGAGGCTATGAAGTAATCTGATGACAAAGCTCAACAAGGGCGACCTTGGTAAATGTTCTTTGTAGAGTGGGGCCTCTGGATGGAATAATTTTAGGTTAGCGCGACCAAAATGGATCCCTCTCAGCGTGCAACTGCACGAGAGGCACATTTTATGACTGCTGTTAAACCGGAATATAATTTAAGTGCAGTCGTATCGAGCCTCGCGCTGCAGCAGTCCGCCATGGATATAATTAGACGCTTCGTAATACAGATATATTGAGAAAGTGCTGATGTGTAATTTACATTCTTGGTTCTTCAAACCTTCACACGCTGTCCAAGAAAAGTCTACGTTTTTGCAGAATGACTGCTGGAAATGGAGGGGGGAAAAAAAACCCCAAAGCTTTAAAATGGGTGTCAGGTTCTGACATACAACGATTAGTGTTAAAGTACAGCTCTTTAAAAACCAAAGTACACTGACCCATTGGTTCTTTTTACACTGAGCAGCAAGTCAAAAACTACTTATGCACTGTAAATGTATTGTATATAAAATTTTAAATACACCTAAACTGTACTAAAGTTAAATTCAACTGAAGGTTATCAGGAAAATCTAATGAATTGTGTCATAAAACGATTTATGTCATTGAATATATATCAGAAAATGGATGTAAACATCACATTGCAGTGAACACCGACCATTTAAACCAAAACCGTTGTTTTGCTGCATTATGGCAAAATTAATTGCAGCTTTTGAATGAATGGCGACTTTTATGATTATGATATGCTGTCATTTTTGTATTATGGTTACCAAACGGATATGAGGCAGACATTAAACCTATTTGGGTGGTTGTCCCAGCCAAGTGGCGGTGGCCCTGCCCGAACCGACACTCGGCCTGTGCGTTTCTGATATGATGTTTTAATAATTTATTTACCATCTGTATCCTGTATTATTTCATCCTTGAGGAAATATTATTTCTAATTATTTTTTGCATTATAAAATCTAACTGAATATCTACATGTTCTGGGATTAATATCTTGTTCAAGCCATTCCTTATGAAAGGTTGTAACCTGATTCACACACACGCAAAAAAAAAAAAAAGTCTAAAAAAAGATCCATTAACCATTAGCTCATTAAGTGGATGAAACTCAAATCATCCATCCATCCATTTCCAACACCGCTTATCCTGAACAGGGTTGCAGGGTTGGTGTGAGAGCCTCTCTCGGGTGACTTTGGGCGGAAGGCGGACTACCCCCTGAACTGCTCGCCACTCAGTCGCAGGGCACATACAGAGACGAACAACCATTCACACCCACACCGTCACCGAGTGGGAACCAATCCCGCACACAAGTCAGGCGAATTTACCATGTCACCATCAGCAACTAAAACTCAAAATATTCAATGTTAAACATTAAAAAAGCAAGTATGTGTTGATTTCATGATATTTATTGATGAAATTTGTACTGGCCCATTTGGGCCAGTATCAATGAACTTTAGGTGGCCCTACGCAGTCACGTGGTGGCTCTGGGCCACCGGGCAACTGTTAACGTAGAACACTGTGAGGTGTGTTTATTGAGTTAAATTGGTCAAAGCTCACGAACTGTACTCGTACTTGGTATTTGGTACTGGGACAAGGTGGAGAAAGAGTCTCACTTTTGATTGACTTTCAGAGATGAATTCATGTAACAATAAGTTTGGTTGTAGGTTGTAGTTTGCAGTGGTTTAAGTTTTTCCTGCATTTCAGAGATAGCTGTTTCTGATGTTTTGCCCATCTCGTGTAGCCAATAAAACCCTACAAGGCTCTTCTCTCACTGGGCGCTACAACGGAACAGGTCTTCAGAATCTCTCCCACAGAAGCCAGGCAGAGGAGGGCCGTGACATAATTGTCATTTAATTGGCCGACAGATGCAGGCATTAAACCGAGGGCAACTTTGCCAAAAACGCCTATGGAAAGGTGCACCCAAAATAAATTTGTAGCTGTTCTTGAACCATTTGGAGTATCAACATAGTTTTGGTCTCTTTTTGAAATATTCAAAATTTTATCATTATGAATATTTCTCCCATACCGTAAGAATCTGTGTAAGTGCTCCTGTCACTGAACTATGGATGTTCGAAAACAGAAGAAAAAGTCGAATCTTATGTTCGTCTAATTTCTTTTCACGAAATCTGCCTTGAAAATGGATTTAGAATGTTGATTGGGACTTGGAAACACTACAGGATCAAAGCTTGAGCTCTCCCCAAGTTCCGGTTCAAATTCGACAATTGTAACATGTAGGGTACCATTCAAATCTCCAGAAACTCAGCTTTTAAAAGATGTCTAACATGTTCACACATGTACGCAGCTGACGACGTGCATCAGCGATTTGTTTTGACAGATGACGGAGGGCCCTCCTAACTAACGGTTTAAGTGATGCGACAAGTACCTCCACCGCACACGTCCCTTTCCTGGTTTTAAGTGAATGAGACAAAGCCGTCTGACGCCAAGTCATTCTGGATATACAGTACACATATTGTTTGTGTTTTACAACAATAAGTACAATTTCATATGTAGCTGTGGACATTTTTGAGAGCTGTGTGACTTTCAATAAATATTCAACAAAATTACATCTCCGAAACTTGAATGTTTTAGAGAACGTGTGAGGGATTACATTTGATGAAAACTTTTGTTAAGGTCACATGATCCACAAGGTCCAGTTCAAGGTCAATTACAGGTCAAAAGGTCAAGTTACTAAAATATTTGCCAAACTGCTAAATTATTGCAGAATTAGGAAGCCTTGTTGAGATCTCTTTCTAACAATCCTTGTTTTGTGAAGATTGACCCAGTAGTTCTTAAGATAAAAAGGGTTCGAAGGAAAGTGGGCATGCCTCTTCTTGCAGAAAATGTCAAAAATTTGATGTATCATAGCGCTCGAACCCCTGCACTGATTGACCTAAAATTTGAGATTTTGTGTTGTGCCATCACTAACAACAACTATGCCAAGTTTAATGAAAATCAAAACCTGCTTGCTTCAATCCGCTAGTGGATTTTGCATGGAATGACACCCTTGTCACCCGCTTTTCCCACTGGCTGTAACAGTAGTAGGTAATCCAGGTCATCATGTAAACAGCAGCATTGTGGGTCAGGCAGTGTCTTGGCTAACCCGTGTTAGCATCAGAGTCCCAAAGTTCAAATGCATTTTACCAAAAATATGATTCAAACCTCCCTTTCATGGCAGGATGGCAGTGAAACGTGAGCATCGATCAAGGATTTAATTTCTGACAGAGGAACAATCGTGTCTGGAAGCTCGAATTAGCACACACGTGCTACCGGATGTCTTTGATGTAACGCAATTTCCCGTTGTGCTATGCTAACAAATTGTAGTGCCTATTATGGATTAAAGAGGCATTAGTCAGCAAACTCACATTTATTAACAGCCAAAACACAGTTTTTGTATGCCCGTGCCTGACATCAAATCGGCTCTCCCAAACAGTCACTCACAACCATGTACAGTGTTGCGTTTATGAACTTGGACATAGCAGCGCACAAAGTAACACAACCTGACATATTTGCCTTAAGGCCTAAATGGCAACACATAATAAAATACATAACCTACCTACTTCCCAAACTTTCCTCCAAATCATACCGCAGTTTGTGTGGATCAGGGCTACCCAAGTCCGGTTCTCGGGAACGCCTATCCAGCCTTTTGTGCATGTTTCTCTCCTCCGACACACCTGATTCAAATGATCAGGATTTCTATTAGGCTTTTGCAAAGCTCGCTGATGAACCGATCATTTGAATCAGGTGTTCTGGAGGAGGGAAACATGTAAAGAAGGCTGGATAGGGGCGGCCATGGACCCAACTTGGGCACCCCTGGTGTAGATCAAATAATGTACACTTGTGAAGCCGAACAAAACATTTTGGATAAATGAATGAATAAAATCAAAATTAAAAACCACATTTCCAGACCTGCCAAGGACGCGGAAAGGTGAAATCTCACCTGAGTGTGGAAGTTGGCCATGGTGGTGGTCTCGATGTCCTTCTTCCCGAGCACCTCCATCTTTACCGGGGCGTTGGGGAAATTGTAGGAGAAGTAATCCAGAAAGTCCGGGAGGTAGGACGCCGCTCCGTGAATGATGCCCATGACGAAACACGCCGCCTGGGCTCCATCCTCGCTGAACGACAAGGTGACAAACTCCTGGGCAAAGCGTTGCATCTCGGCCGGCGGCAGGGCCGAGAGCTGCTCGCCATAGGCGCGCACCACCGACGCGCCCCCGTTGGCCTGCATCTCCACGTGAATCAGGTGGCCAAACTCCAGCCCGGGCAGACTCGGCGTGGGCGTGCAGTGGAGCGGTGAGATGTAGCCCAGTCTCTCTCTGACCGCGGCGGGTATAGATGCGGGGTCCGGGTGCTGTGTGCTGTGAAGCAGTCCGCCTCCACCGCCGCTGTTGCCGTTAATTCGGCTGAGGAACTCGGCCAATCCAAGAGACACTCCGGAATAAACAGTCTGGCACGAGCGGTGGTACATTTTGGGGCGTCCGTGCCTCTCTTTGGCTCGCTCACCATCTTTGTGCTTCTTTTTCTTCTTCTTCTTCAGCTTCTTGAGCAAGAGGTCTTCTTGGGAACTGGCTTTGGGCTTCTCTTTGGGCTCTGAGATGGACAACCAGACAACACAAATTAAGGCCGCAGCCATTCAAAAATGTTTAGAATTGATGAGTCTACCGATTACCTGACGATTCATCAAGTAATTGGTTTAAAAATATATTTTTCAATTTTAAATATTGTGCATGTGGGGTGAAGGTATTATTTTTGTCCATTTTGCATCGCCATCCACAGGTTCTACTGTAGTATCCGCGACTGAGTGAGTATGGCTTTGAAAGACGAGGTGTGGCCTGGTGAGTGATGTAGGCATCAACTAATCAGAGGACGGTACATGCTGCACATCATCTGCCATAGTAAGTGTGAAATAAGCTTTCGAAATGCACCGTAAACGAGAAACGGTTCTCAAATGCCTTACCTGGTTAAACAAGGAATAAATAAAAATATTATTTTACGGACTGTGACTAAAGTGACGACAGAATATCATGATTAGCATTTAGTATTTATACATTTTAGTCCATTGTGACCTTTTGTGGTTACCATCATTTGAATCAATGCGGAGGGAAGAGTTCCCAACAATAAGTCCGTGTTCCCACAGACCAGAGAGAATTGTGACTGTTGTTGCATGCTCTTTGTATGTGTTGCTGCTTCATGTGTTACTGTCGCAGTTATTTGAGTCTATAAGTACTGAAACAATTTAGGTTAGGCCATCTATGGCGTTTTGTCAGCATTGTGCAAGCAGACTTTCATCGGCCCGCCACACGGCAGCAGCGACCGAAACAAACTAAAGTTGACAATTTTGGAAAAGATTACAGTTGCTGACTCTTCACCGCACACCGAAACAAACTAAAGTTGACAATTTTGGAAAAGATTACAGTTGCTGACTCTTCACCGCACACCAAGCGAATCAGCACCGCACATCTACAGATGAGCGGCAACAGAAAAACTGCGACCCTTGATTGGGTTTTGAGGCTACACATACGATATAAGGTACTCTATTATTTTCTATTGTACCACAAACATGTGGTGCGATTGTCAAGGAAGAAGCAGATAGCCACAAAAAAAAAAAAAGGAAAAGGGGGAGCATAAGCAGAAAATTGAGGTATTTTGAAAGGTTGTTGCCAATGATCGATCGTCGGGTCAGGTACGAAAGAAATTGTAAATATAATATGTTTTGCTGTAAAACACTGTTTTACACTCTGTATTCTATACACTCTTGTGTTCACCGCCAATCTAAATATTAAACAACAGCAAAACCTGTGGTCCACAGTTTACCACTTATGAGAACTAGTTGCAGAACACTGCACATTCTGCGACAGCGGGTTTTGGCTTGGTATCCGTCCGGCCTTGGGAAAAATGATATAGTTCAGTTTGGCATTTTGCTGTCTAAATATATGATTAATTCCTTTTTGTCAGTTTTACTGTAAGCTTCAATTGGGAGTAACAAATAAAAAAATAGCTTTTCGCAAGCACACCTGACATCTTATTTGGAAAACTGAGTTAGAGGTTTTTTCCTTTCCTCAAGTGATGTTATATGATCACGTCTAATTTCTTGACAGCAAAAGCAAGCAAAACATACTTTTAAAAGTATGTTTACATAATCTGAATGTGTTTAAGGCGTGTGGGAGGGGTAAAACCAAATTTAAAATATTTTATGGTCCCATGATGCTGCTGATTTTCACCTATATTTTCCCCTAGCTTCCGCAACGTACTTCTTGCGAAAAAGGGGGTTTCTGATGTTTAAATATGGATTGGGTACTTAGATGTATGGTGTGAGCTCAGGCTTTGATGTGATCTGGGGTGCTTTTGCTTACCTCTCTGAAGAGGGAACACCAGTTCCCCGTTTTCCTTTGAGATGTCACGTTCTGGCGGCAGGTTGTGGTTTTTCCACTCTTTGCTGCTTCTTTCCTTCTTGCTGTCCCGCTCCTTGTCTTTGCTGTTGTAATCTAGGGGGGAAAGGCACCAAAAGTGACGCCTGTTAATAACATCCAGGGCTGAAGTGATAAAAGGACAAACATTTACACGTGTGAGTGAGTGGTCCACATGCATTGCATTCGGGGCCTGATGCGCGCACACAGTGGCCTGCGGCACAAGCCCCGTTATGTAATATTTCAACAGATGTTTCAATTACAACCATAGAGTTTGTTCGGTATTTTAGTGGGAAAGAGTTTGGAGCGAGGGGTAGATCGGTCTTACCTCTCTGTGGTGTCTTCACGTCGCCGTTCTCGGTCTTTGTATGGCAGCTAGCGGGGCTGACTTTCTCCACTGCCGCGGCCGAACTGCGCTGCGCTTCGCCGCTTTTCTCCCGATGCCGTTTCTCCTTCGCCCGTTTCTCTTTGGACGGCGAGGCGAGGAAGTTGCTTATTTTGAAAATTTTCCGTGCGGGAGCTGCTGCTGCTCCTGGCACCACCACCGCGGTAGCGGTGGGGGCGGCGGAGTGGCTCGCCTTGGCCGGGCCGAAACTCCATTTCGCTGGGCTCCCACAACTCGGTTTCCCGTTGTGTTTTTCCACAGTGCACACCTCTCCGTTGACTTTCCGGTGCTTGGGCCGCTTCTCCTCCACGCGGATCTTCTTTGTGGGCGGTGGGTGAATGTCGCTGGAAGACTGCGGTCGGCTCTCTGGCGGCCGTTTAGCTAACAGCGCTTGGGGGGAATTTGTTTGGCTGTTCGCTGCGAAATGCATGGAGTCCACGGACTCGGCCATCTTGGAAGTTTCTATTTTTTACGGCCAGACGTAAGTGGTGCGTCAGAGCCAATAGAAGGCGGGGCTTAGATGCTCCGCAAGCACGTACAACAGGCGGAAGAGCAACGCGGAAGTATACTGTTGTACGAAAGAACGATTTAAAAAGCGACTGTTTATTATGAACGAAAAAAGATACATTTTCTTTCTTTGAAACTCACCTCATCTTAACTTTTTATTAATAGAGCACTTTAAAAAGCAAACGCACTGGAATCAAAGTGTTATATATAAATACAATTGAACATAAAACAAACTACTAATAATGATAATACTGGTCTAAATATTAATTATTATGATGATATAAATAGTAATAATGACAAGACAAAAATATTTAAAATAATATACGACACGTAAACAACTATGAACTAAGTTATTAATGTGTTTATTTTATCCTCGTGACATCGTTGATTGGGCGGACGGGTGGACAACTGTTTAGCGCGTCGTCCTCACAGTGCAGAGGTGCATGGTTCGATTCTGGCTCCGGCCTTCCTGTGTGGACTCTGTATTTTCTCCCCGTGCCTGCGTGAGTTTTCTCCCGGTACTCCGGTTTCCTCCCACATTCCAAAAACATGCGTGGCAGGTTGATGGAACTCACAATTATCCCTAGGTGTGAGTGCGGATGGTTCTTCGTCTATGAGTGCCCTGCAATTAGCTGGCAACGAGTTCAGGGTGTCCCCCGCCTATTGCCTGGAGACAGCTGGGATAGGCTCCAGAAATCTTTGAAAACTTTCTATAGCCACAATCCATCGTATGACCAGGTGCGCCTGTATGAGTTATTTACAAAACTTGCAACTTCTCATAAGGTCACCAGGAGGCAGTATAGTTACATGCAGTAAGGGAATTTGTTGCTCATCTACTCAGAGTCCTGCTAGATGTGATTACACATGATTCACACTCTGCAGTGACAAGTGACAGTGAGTTTTAATTTGTATTTGTATTGTTATTTTTTTTGGTTGTGTTTAGCATGTCTGCCTTCCTGTTCTTAGGTTCTGGGTTCAAATCTCAGCTCCAGTTTTCCTGTGTGGAGTTTGCATTTTCTTCCCCATGCTTGTGTAGGATTTCTCTGGTTATTCTAAATTGTCTGTCGGTGTAGTTGTTGTTGTTGTTGTTGTTGTTGTTGTTGTGGTTGTTGTTGGGCAACCTCCAACTGGATCCCACAGCGGCTCCTAAAGCCGCAGCGACCCGGGTACCTGCAGACCCAGTTGTCGGCTCTCGACTGGGAACTGTTCGTAGCCCGAAGACACGCCCAACACCGCTTGGAGGTCGTTCCCGAGTTGGGTGTCTGTCGGTGTTAATGTGAGTGTGAATGACTGTATACATATGCCCTGCGATTGGCTGGCAACCATTCTAGGATGCATCCACCCTCTTGTCTATACATCAGATGGAATAGGCTACAGCTCAACTCAACTCAACTCAACTGTATTTATAGAGCACTTTCAAACAGCCATCGCTGCATACAAAGTGCTGTACATGGAGCAATTAACATATACAACAAACAGTAAAGCAAATCGGTAACAAAGACGGTAGAAAGCACCGAACAGCAAAACCAAGAACAAATCTAAGTCATGCTGAGTCAAATGCCAAAGAATACAAGTGAGTTTTGAGGCGGGTTTTGAAGATGGGCAGCGAGGAGGCTTGCCGAATGTTCAGTGGGAGGTCATTCCAGAGAGAGGGACCAGCAACAGAAAAGGCTTGATCCCCTCTGAGCCTCAGTTTAGTTCTTGGTACTTCTAATAATTTCTGGTCCGCAGACCTGCAAGAGGCGAGCAGCGGCATTCTGGACCAGCTGGAGGCGCTTAATGGAGGACTGGCTGACTCCAAAGTAAAGGGCATTGCAGTAATCGAGCCGGGATGTGACAAAGGCATGAATTACTGTCTCAAAGTGTTCATGAGAGAGGAGAGGTTTTACTTTGGCCAGCTGGGCTGCGTTATAGAGAACGGATGACTGGATGATTGCCATCTATTAAACTAAACCTAACTAATCAGGACATAGCAGGCCTTGAAGCACTGCCATATCCTTACCCTTCACTTCCTAATTCTGGAAAATGTCCACCTATGTCCTAAACGAGTGCAGGTATTTAGGGTATTGACTGACTGACGGTCTGGCCAGGTTTTATCTGGTGCTGCCTCACCACAGCAAATCCATCCCAGATGTGAAGGGACATGTCCCAGTGTTTTCAAGCGACCAGTAAAAGTCATCCTGACACATGATGAAAGAATGTCTCGCCTTATGAAGCATTCGGTGGATATGAGTGTGTGACTGTGACAAAAGACAAAAGATGAGTTGGAATACTTATATGAGCTGCGGCATGAAGACAGATATGAGTCTGTGAATAATCCAGGAAGGGCTCAGGCTATTTTTCAACAATATCACTTGGATGGAGATGAATTGGCCTCCTTGCTACCAGGAAGCTGAACGAATGGTCAAATGTTTGTTTTATCGGCGGGGAGGAGAAGAGCACAGTGTTTACATTAGCCAGGACAGAGAGTGGGCCAAGGCGGCTCATTGGAGGGAATTCAAAATAGTGTTCACAAGGAGGGCACCTTGAGGACGACAACCTGCTGTCCATAAATGGGTAAAAGCTTGGAGAAGTAGCTATTACTGAGAATGATCCATGGCGACACTCTGCTATAAGCACCCATTTCATTTTCCATCCATCCATTCTCTGATTCGCTTTATCATCACAAGTGTTGCAGGGGGCACCAGAGCCCATCCCAGCTGTCCCCGGGCAGCAGGCAGGGGACACCCTGAACTGGTTGCCAGCCAATCGCATCATTTTATTGCACAATATTTATACACTATTGTATTCCATCCATCAATCTGTCTGTACCACATAACCTTTCCCAAAGGTTCAGTAGATTAATGGTAACATAAGATGGGCGGGGTTGGGGGGGGGGCACCGACCAACTAACCAATAGCATGTATGTCACGGCGTCACAACCCGTAAGAAATGGGTATTTGTCCACAAATGGTGGAGCAACACATGAAAATAGGCTCATATAACAATACACACAGGCATAGTCCTCCTCTGCAAAGAACATCTAATTTTACTTATGTACTGAGGAGCTGAGACCGTCTTCATGTACTATATATCTCTGTGCCTGCATGGGTTTTCTCCTCACGCATTTCAACAACATGTATAGCAGGTTAATGGAACACTCTAGTCTAAATTGTCCCTCGGTGTGATTGTAAGTGCAAGTGGATGGTTGTCTACAGCAGTGTTTTTCAAACTTTTTTGAGCCAAGGCACACTTTTTTCATAGAAAAAAATTTCGCGGCACACCACTAGCTGAAAATGTGACCCCCCCCCTTATTTTAACAATTAACGTGTTATATTGTTACTATAACCGTTTTTAACATTGAAGAATGACGTTATAACAGCTTGAATTGGAATCAAATGAACACAAAAAAAACAGTATTTTATCATCTTTCATATTTATTGTTTCACCGTCGTCCTGCATTCATGCGTCACAAATTTGCTTGTCTCTCGTCGAAACACAAGGCAATTGGCTAGCTGTTGCTTCTCCCTAGCGGTATGGGAGGGTACTACATGATTACTTTCTGGGCGAAAGACCACACAGGCATACAAATTAGATATTTTCCCGCGGCACACCCGACAATGTCTCGCGGCACACTGGTGTGCCGCGGCACACGGGTTGAAAAACACTGGTCTACAGTATGCGTGCCCTGCGATTGGTTGGCAACCAGTTCAGGGAGTACCCTGCCTACTTCCCGAAGAGAGCTGGGATGGGCTCCAGTATGCCCGCGACCCTCGTGAGGATAAGCAGATTAGAAAATGGATGGATAATGTGTCATTACTCTTTGCTTTTATAGTAAAGCATAATAATAAAGAGTTCTGTTTCCTTGTAAGAAAAACATGAGATTTTTTTGTTCATAGTTTTTTAGTAGTCTGCAACGCATTGATGGCATTTCCATTCATTTCAATGGGGAAAGATGACTTGACATATGAGAGTTCTAAATTCCGAGCGTGGTCAGGAAGCTTGGCTGGTGACCAGTCCAAGTTATACTGCACCTCTCACCCAAAGTCAGCTGGGAAATGAGGACAAGCCCTAGAAGATGGTACAGTGCCTTTGATTCAGACAGACATCTCCAAATACTGTAAACATTTCTCTCACACATTTTTTTTTTTGTGTGTTAAAGTGCTGCGGTGTGTATATGTTTCTGGATTTTACCTCCCAACAGTTGTCAAAGAAGCACCTGACTGTATACAAATCTGGAATGTTATTTTAAGTACAGCTGTGCCTTGACGTACGAGTTTAATACTTGCTCAATTGTAACGCAAAACACTCAGAACTCAAATCATCTTTCTCCACTGAAATCAATGGTAATTCCAATGATCTGTTCCATCCGTGACTAATCTAATCTAATCCAATCACATCATGAGATGGAATGTAAAAAAATTTAACAGTTTGCGCACCAGGATTTTATGCTTGAATTCAATGGTCATTGTCCAAGCCCTGGCCACCAAGCGGCAGTGTAATAAAGACACAAAGAGGACAATCACAACTGCCAACATCAATGCTACTTTCGTTAGTCCACCGATAGCACTTTGTCTCGTGTCATAGCATTACGTTAGCAGACTTTCATCAGACAAAGTTATGTGGTTTATTTAGTTAAATACACAGCATGTAATTCTCTTTTTATTTTTTTATCTGCTAGGGGTGCGCCGATCGATCGGCTGGGATCGGTATTGGCACCATTTTCCTTAATTTAGGGGGATTGGTGATCAGCCGATCTCTAACTACAAACCGATCTTGTCCATTGATCTTATCTCCCTCCGCAGAGGTCTGAAAAAGTCAGCTAACAGGGTTTTCATTATTATTTGAGAAAACTACTTTGTACATTTTAGATAACCCACTGTAGTCTTTCACGGGTATTGTTCAATGTTTTACAATAAAACAAGATCAGAACATTGAAAGTGTTTGCTGTTGGTTATGAAAAAAAAATCTGCATTGACAAGTCAGGCTTTTTAAAGATCAGGTGATCAGTGACCGGCCACACAAATTGTGATCAGTGCACCACTGTACTATCTTCCGAACTGCAGCTTGTTGTGAAGTTCATTGCTAACTTCAATTCTTAATCACAATTTCAGGCAAAAAAATAAATAAATCATCGAAAAACTCACGCATCAGGTAACTCGTAAGTCAAGGTACCACTCACTGTAAAGTAAGTTTTATGCAAGAAAAACGCAACTGATGCCTCTGTCACCAACTTGACGTGTTGTTCACAGTTTCTCTCTTCCACACTTTATCTCTTTGATTTGACCTTCCATTTGAAAGAGTGTGCTTCCCACACTTGAAGCCAAACAGTTTCCTTTGTCATTATTAAAAAGACAGCTGAAAAATGTCCCCAGCCTCGATGTCGTCATAACAACTCGACAGCCAGGAGGCAGAAAACAACAATTCAAAAGGTCACCACAGGCAGGCTTAAAGCTAGAGTGGTGCTCAGAGAACAGACCTCCGCCAAGGATCATCAGTCCTAGCCAAGTGCTCGTCTTCACAGATCCAGTACCCACCTCCTGCATATTTTGCCCGTAAGATCACGTGTGATACAAGTAGAAATGAATGAAAACAAGACCTGATGTTGCAATGTTAACACAAGTGGAAAAACACATTCCCTGGATCTGCACCATTAGCCGGATCCCCACCAAAATTTTATGGGTTCCTCTTGGCCAGTACGTCACTCCCTCGCTACTTTTTGTGGCAGTGGCCTGTGCTTTTTTTATTTTTTTTTCATGAAATCCCCCTAACAAACACATAAATAAGTGAGTGATAAAAACATAACGTTGCTGGGTGGGGGAGACCACTAAAACACTTCACCAAAACATTGGCACAGCAACAGTGAGCTTAGCAACCCACAAGAGAGGCTCCCCTCATCTCATTGTTACGCTAAGAAAAGAAATTAAATTCTAGCAAAATCAGATCTAATTAAGTAAGACACACTGATCTTAGCAAACCACAAGAGAAACTGCCTATTCTCTAAATTACCGGTAATAAAAACAAAGTGAATTCACACTAAATTATATTAAATTGAACAAAATGCCGTGAGTTTAGCATGTCAAAAGAAAAAAAATTCCAACAAAATAAATTCTAATAGTCATTTAAAAAACGTATACATTCTAACAGAACATCATGAAAATAAAAATAAAATGTAGCTAATTTACAAGACACAGTGAGTTTGGCAACCCACAAGAGAGGCTGCCTATACTCTTTCCATTAATAAAATAAAATGAATTTAAACAAAATTTATCAAATGAATACATTTTGATTATGCATAAAAAAAAAAAAATTCAAACAAACTAAAATATTGGACAACAGATGCCGCTTATTCGCTACATTAATATCATGAATCAAAACAAAATTAAATTGAATTTATGATTTTTATTCATGCATTTATACAATAACAAATTCAAATAAATTAATTAAATCAAACAATGAATTTAACAACTCAAATTAAAAAAAATAAAATTGAACACAACTAAACTGAATTAAATCAAATCAAACAACCGAAAATAGAATTGTATTGAATAATCTGTCCATCCATCCGTTGTCTAATCCGCACAAGGGTCGCAGGCATGCTGGAGCCTGTCCCAGCTGACTTCGGGTAGTAGGTGTGGTACACCCTGAACCAGCCAATCGCAGGGCATACAGCCGAACAACCATTCACACTGACAATCACACCTAGGGACAATTTAGAGTGTTCCATTAACCTGCCATTCATGATTTTAGAATGTGGGAGGAAAACAAAGTACCCGGAGAAAAGCCACGCAGGCTCAAGGAGAAAATGCAAACTCCACAAAGGAAGGACGAAGCAAGAATCGAACCCTTCGCCTCTGCACTGTGAGGTGGATGTGCTAACGAGACATTCATCGTGCCACCTAGTGTACTGACTTAAAATTTTCTTATTCATACAGTGATAATATAGAACAAACAATTTTTTTTTAATTGAAATTGGAAAAGTGAAATTAAATAACTACACATTGACCTTAGCAACCCATCAGCGGCTACCTCGTCTATTCTCCACATTAATTAAATCAATAAAATAAAAAAAGTAATAATAAAAGGTAAAATCAAATATTAAATAGACAATGCAACCCACAGAAGATAATGAATAAATACATGAAAAAACAAATGATGATACCTGCCTACATTACATAGATAAATGAAATATGAAATACATAGTGAACATTGCAAGTCATACGAGAGGCTAACATGTCTTTCTCTACATGAGTTAGATACATTAAACAGTTCATTCAATTTAAGACGTACATTATCATTTTTAATCTAAACCACCTTATCCACTCTACTTAAAAAAAAAATAAAAAAAAGATTAAACACAACCAAGAAGCACCCATTAAATATGAAATATGTCTAATGTGTCACGTCTGTAAGTGTGACACCGTGCATATATCCTTGCCTCTTGTCACATTTATATTACGTCACGCAGTAAGAATGTTTTGTGAGTGGTCCCCATGGTCGTCATGACACAATGTGAGCCTAATTAGGATAAGTGAAAAAAAGGATGATGAACTGACATACGGAAAACTGGCACATGCAGTACTGTGGAAAAAGCCACCAACAGCCCTTTTTTTTTGTTCTGATCATACTTAACAGCAGTCATTTTGACTTTTAGTAGTTATTAGGACACGTACTATCGACTGTATTTATATGTTGAAAAAAATTTGACCAATATAATTAATTTCAAACCTTTTTCCATTGTTATTGTGACATATAACCTGCATAACTGAACATGAAAAAAATCTCAAGAAGGGAAGTTAAACAAACAAATGAGAAAATGTATTTGCACAAGTGTGCACACCCTCTTATATCTGGGGATGTGGCTGTGTTCAGAATTAATCACAGTCCAACTTGTGTTGAATGGGAGTCAGCACACACCCGCCACCATTGAAAGTGTCTCTGATTGAACTCAAATAAAGTTCAGCTGTTCTTAGTAGGCATTTCCCTCCTTTTTTTCAGCTTTCTAGTAGAAATCTGATGGTTCTGTGCTAATACTGTCTGGAAAAGCCTGCTAGAACATCTGAACTTTATTTGGGCTGAATCAGAGTCACTTTAAATGTGGGCAAGTGTGTTCTGACCCCCATTCAACAGTGTTCGCTATGATGGGTCATAACAAAAAGAGAGGATCTACTCTTCTTGTTTTTGTGTACACATTTGTACATAATGTTTAAAAAAGAGTGCGGATGAGTAAAACTATTTTTTAAAAGCTGTTTATGATTTTTTCCCCCACTGAAGGTGGATCAGGAATGTATATCCCGTAATAAATACTGCGGTGGTTCATTGGACTGTTCATTCATTCTTTAACATTTTAGACATAATCTGTCATAATGACAGTAGTGAGAACACATATTGAAGCCTCCCGGTCCCCAGAGTGTCCCCCAACTGTTTCCCTCCAAAAATGTTTGGCTCTTTGTTTCTCTCCCAGTCGTCTCAAGAGCTCCATCACTCCACCTCCTTAACTTATCCTCCCCCTCCCACCTGGCCACCTCCTCACTGACAGACCGAGGTGGTTCTATTTTAGCCTCTCAGCTCTCCTCTCACTCTGTCTCTGATTGAACTCAAATAAAGTTCAGCTGTTCTTAGTAGGCATTTCCCTCCTTTTTTCAGCTTTCTAGTAGAAATCTGATGGTTCTGTGCTAATACTGTCTGGAAAAGCCTGCTAGAACATCTGAACTTTATTTGGGCTGAATCAGAGTCACTTTAAATGTGGGCAAGTGTGTTCTGACCCCCATTCAACAGTGTTCGCTATGATGGGTCATAACAAAAAGAGAGGATCTACTCTTCTTGTTTTTGTGTACACATTTGTACATAATGTTTAAAAAAGAGTGCGGAGGAGTAAAACTATTTTTTAAAAGCTGTTTATGATTTTTTCCCCCACTGAAGGTGGATCAGGAATGTATATCCCGTAATAAATACTGCGGTGGTTCATTGGACTGTTCATTCATTCTTTAACATTTTAGACATAATCTGTCATAATGACAGTAGTGAGAACACATATTGAAGCCTCCCGGTCCCCAGAGTGTCCCCCAACTGTTTCCCTCCAAAAATGTTTGGCTCTTTGTTTCTCTCCCAGTCGTCTCAAGAGCTCCATCACTCCACCTCCTTAACTTATCCTCCCCCTCCCACCTGGCCACCTCCTCACTGACAGACCGAGGTGGTTCTATTTTAGCCTCTCAGCTCTCCTCTCACTCTTGTGACTCGAGATGAAGTTCACAGCACTGTACACATTTTTGATTTTGTTGGCCTCCCCCAGCCTCTCTTGGGAGGGCAACGAGGGATTCGGGCAATGCGCTGTCACCCTGCGGGCCGGGGGGCCATGCGGACCGGGGCGAGCTGGGTGCCCCTATATCTTGAGCCTGCCGCCGATGACTGTGCACCTGCCGGAGCAATTCGGGGAGCTGGAAAAGCTCATGAAGGATTTACAGACATTGAAGGATGACGTGGACCAGCTGAGGAAGATATGCGGAGACTGCGGAAGACGTCAAGAGAGCAGGTATGGTGAGGAGGGACACTCGGAGACACAATGCTTAGGGCAGGGAGATTTGGAAGACGGAGACGAGCAGGGAAAGACAGTGGCACGCTCCATGTGTGCTGTAGAAACAAGTGAGAAAGAAGTGTCCCTGAAGGAAGCAGCTGGAAACGATGAAAAGGGAGAAAGTGAACGACCCGAGGAGGAAAGTGGAAAACAAATTGGAAATAATCAAATGCATCAAGCGCGGCCAGATGAAACAAATGTGATGGAGAAAAAGACACAAATAAAGATGCCGCAGGACCGTGGGAGGCAGGATCAAGGGAAGATTTGGGAGGAGAAGAAAAAGGAAATGGAAAAGGGGGTAAAAGCAGGGCAGAGATTTGAGAAACCAAAACAGACTGCAAACAAAGGGCTCGCAGACAAAAGTGAGTCAATAAAAAAAGACGTCGAGGAAGTGTTGGAGAAGGAGGATGGAGAAATGAGAAGTGTAAAAACAGAGAGAGGAAAAGCAGCCGAGAATGTGCAGAGAGACAGTGATGGAGACTCAGCATCCAGCAAAGCGACTCAAAGGACAGACTTTGTTTCAATTAGCCCGACTCCTGTGTTGACATTTATCTCAGCTCAAAGGCCTGCGTTTGCAGACTTGGATAAGACTGAGCGCATCACGTCATCTCTTCCATCGCCTCCCTTCTCCGGTTCCACTTCCAATTACTTACCAGTTATTAATCCAAGAAGAACCCAAACAGCTTCGACTGAATCAACCACCATAAGGTATCCGTTGGATGTAACAAGTTCCCCAAGCTCAAGTTCAACCTCCATCATTCCTTCTCACAGCCTCCGCACAACTATTCCCCCCAAAGCTACAGAACGCAGCAGGTGGCCAAGCACCGACATCGGCTCGAAGCACCAACCAGGCCTGAAAGATAAGGCGGAGATAAAGCGTACACCCGGAATGAAGCCTGATGCAATCAAGCCGAAGGATTCCAAGCATGACCGTAAACTGGACGTGAAAACCAAACAAAAAACAACTCATCAGAAAATCAGAGCAGAGATTAAATTGAAAACTGGCAATGACACGAAAAAGTTTCACATTCAAAGAGCTGATAACAGGACAACTGATCCTTACCTCAAACCCCCAAAAGCCAAACATGGGCAAGACAAGACAACTAATCTGCAGCAGGTAGCAACTAACCAACAAGCAAGACCTGCAACCGACGAAGTACCCGAATCAGACCAAACCCTAATGTTAAAGAAAAACTCTAAACCTATCAAAAGACCTGTTCATCCTGTTAAAACCAGTATGACTGACCAGAAGCAAAAACCTGAGAAAAAATTAAAAACTGAGACAAAAGAAAAACTGGATCGAAATGAAGCAAAGCTACATTTCCTGCCTGATCTGCAGACTGATTCCAAAAAAAGGCAAAAACTGATAGAACCGGTTAATTCCGATTCTTCTGGGGACTCTGAGTCACAAAACAAATTTACAGCTAATCCCGATCACAGACTGAAATCCAGCCAGAAAATTCCCAATATTAACGCAAAGCCCAAAACTGGTCAGGTGCCCAAACTTAACCAAAAGCAGCCCAAGCCTGCAAGAGACCAAAACACTCAAGATAATATAAAGCCAAAAGTCAGTCAAGTACTTCCTGATCCTGACCGCCAATCTGTGTCGAATCAAAATCCTGGTGAGGACTCGAAAAGAAAATCAGAATCCTGGTCTCGCTCTACCGACACACCACCAGCCAGACCGACGCTGAAGCCAGGAGGACCACCATCTGAACCAAACCAGAAGACCACAACTCCCCAACCTCGCCATTTTAATCAGACGACAACGGGTAGTTTCGATGTTCAACATCCACCTACGTCCAGTCCTGATGTACAGATGGCTGAGGTGACTCATTCCCGAATGGACACAGAGTTCAAGCCCAGCACGAGGAAAACCGTCACTCAAAAGACCTTTGGCAGCCCACGCCTGGGGGGCCCAAACAGCGGGGTGGTGTTTGAACCCACGCCACAAACAACCAGTTCACCTTCCTCAATCCCAAAATCAACACAAACGATCCTGCTCGGCAGTGTTATTCCGAGCACAAATCCAGACCTCACAAAACCAAATCTGCACGCTAGAGATGAGGCAGCAACTCGCCAAAAGACTCTTGAACCCCTTTCTCCTCGTGCTCAGAACTCCTCCAGCTCTGACTTGAGCTCAACAACCACCACTGACCCCGTGGCCCACCCAGCTGCCGAGTTGTCGACATCAAGTGCTCGCGAGCTACGTGTGAAAATCAAACAGTTGGCTGCCACGTTCTTCAACGGCAGCCAACTGGGCCCGAATGGAAGATCGCCACCGGGAAGGCGTTTGAAAGATCTGCCAGAGGATCACCAGGGTGATAACAGGCCAGTCAGTGGATCACTGATGCAGATACCATCTGGAGGTAAGAGACACAATTTTTCACACGCCAAGGGTACATTTTTCAGATCTTATGATGGGAGCTCTGGACTGAGCTGCTCTGAATGTTGATTTTCTTCTGGTGAACTTGTTTTGTGCCATGTTATGATGCATTCTTACAGTACTTGTAACCTTGAAAAGTCATATGTTGGAACGGTCCAAAACCGAAGAACCCCTGTACTTTAACCACTTTTCTAATCAAACCTCTTGCATTAACTACTTTTAAGAGCCATACGGTCTACTTAGCTCCACATTAGTGTGTATTCCAAACCATAAAATAAAGTGTTTATACCCCGTAATGTTAAAAGCAACCATTTTCTAATAAATGACTCACACCAAATGCATCAAGCATGGAGGTCCATCCTTGGGCTGGTAATTTGTTGACCTCTTTTACTGTTGGAAAGTAGATAGATGTGTTGCAACTCGTTTTTATATCTCAGCTGCAAGGTGATCGTAACTACCTTGAAAGTAGGGTATTCAACTTTTTCCTTCAAGGCCGGGCGTGCTGGAGCCTATCCCACCTGCCTTCGGGCAGTCGGCGGGGTACACCGTGGAACTGGTTGTCAGCCAATCGCATAGCACACATAGACGAACAACCATTCGCGCTCTCACTCGCACCCATGGACAATTTAGAGTGTTCCATTAACTTGCCATACATGGTTTTGGAATGTGGGAGGGAACCACAGTACCCGGAGAAAACCCACGCAGGCACAGAGAGAACATGCAAACTCCACACAGGAAGGCTGGAGCCGGAATCGAACCCTCCATCTCTCCGTTGGGAGACAGATGTGGTAACCAGTCGCCCACTGTGCCGCCGTCTGCAGCAGTTTTGCAATTTTTAAAGCGGTGTTGACTTGAGGATCATTAGTGTAATGTTTCACAAATCAGGCCAATTTTTGTGACTTAAACTGTACTACTTTAAGTCATCAAGAACTGAACTCAAACTTTACGATTTTAGTTACTGGACTTTGGACACTCCTCTGCCAATAAAAGACAAGGTTGTGATTTGTGGCACCATCAAATGCTCCTCAGGTGCAGTTTCCGGGGTGAAGAAAGACTGCTCGGACCACCTAGTCAAAGGGCAGGTGATGAAGAGTGGCATCTATCAAGTGACCCCGGATCTCCACACCGGCAACGGTGTTCCGGTACTGTGCGAGATGGAGGTACAGGGCGGGGGATGGACCGTCCTGCAACTCCGGCAAGACGGCAGCGTCAGTTTCAACCGCACCTGGGCCGAGTACCGATCAGGCTTCGGGGAGCTTCTGAATGGAGGGGAGTTCTGGTTGGGCAACCAATACATTCACTTCTTGACCCGGAACAGAGACATGACACTGAGGGTGGAGTTGCAGGACTTCTCGGGGGTGACAGGGTACGCAGAGTATGAGAACTTTAGGGTGGCAAGCGAAAGGATGCGCTACAGGTTGACGGTGGAGGGTTATTCCGGCACAGCGGGAAATGCGCTCCGCTTCAGCCCCCACTATGACCACAACAACCAGGCCTTCACCACCCCGGACCGAGACAATGACCGCTATCCCGCTGGGAACTGTGGGGCTTACTACAGCTCTGGGTGGTGGTTTGACGCATGCATGGCTGCAAACCTCAATGGAAGGTACTATTTGGGGAAATACAAGGGGGTACGTAATGGTATATACTGGGGGGCCTGGCAAAATATCTCCACTGAGTTCTACCTCACAAATGAAAGGCAGTCTTTTAAAACAGTCAGAATGATGATCCGACCAAAGGGATTTTTAAATTCATGAACATATGATTATTATACAACATACACTCCTTGCAAAAAAAAAAATGTTGGGGTTCTGGGTGAAATTTAAGGATGAAGCATCCCTGGGAAGAAAAAAAAAAGTTGGGCTGGCATTCAAACTTACAGGTCAAAATACGTTCGTTTATGAATACTATAGAGGAGTGCATTTTAGGCACATCTTGAAATGTCAGTCCAAAGCCCAATAGCTCTAACGTTCTGTGAGGAATGTATGTTCGTATCAGTCACATCAACTTTCAGATTTTATACTGAATCAAAACAAATTAGAACGCAATAAACATCTGCTGACCTCTTTGGCGCAATGCTTCTCCCTAGTGGTAAACTGTAATTCTGCAGTAAACTGTGTGCTGATGTAAATGGAGTCCTCGGTTTACAACGAATTTACAACTTGGCCGGAAGATGATCCAATCAACACACACGCACACAAACAAAACAAACAAGCAAAACAACAACAACAACAACAAAAAAACAGTAAGTACTAACTGAGAGTGAACCGAGCACTCCTGTAATGTGATATTTGAGGATGTACATGGCTTTTACAGATACCAGGCCTTCCATTCATAGTGGTGAGATATTTCTTGTAATGGATTATTTTCTTATATTGATTACTGATGCTTGAAAGTGTTTGAAAGGTTGATGGGATTGTGTGTTTCTGCTACGTTTCATTATATACCCCACCATCACCAAATGCAAATTAAAGCAGAGCGTGACAAGTGAAAAGTGTGGTTTGGTTATTTGAATAAATATTCGTTGATAAACTGAATTATTTTATTTTTTAACCATTTCATTTTGTGGTATGTTCTCTATAATAGGCACAGTAAATAAAAACGAAAGGACAACGCATAGAGGTATCTTTTTTAGTCAATTGTTTGGTGTAGGCATAAAATAACAACCAAAAACCAGAATCGTATTTTTACATTTATTTTAATGATTTCGATCTCTCAGGCTTGACAGGAAACTCATACTTCCGTCTCTCTTCCAACTTTACGTAACTTTGTAAACAAATAGTAATCGAGATTGCTACCGATCTAGCCACCTACTTCGCTATCAACCCAATTAGCAACCTACCATTACTGACTTATACATGAATATATAAGTACTGTATGACTAATGACTTCAGTCCATTCCTACCAGCTATGTGGCTAGCGCTAAGCGGAAGTCTGCTTTTACGTCATCAGTACGTATTTTTAACACGTAACTTGACTGTTGTCGCAGCGTGACATTGGCAACCTCTGAAAAATGAATTCGCGTACGCTTATAGTAACGAGTGCTGTGGTTCGGTCGTCAATGTGTTAATTCTTTGCCATGCTGCTCTGGAGCTCGCCAGCTCTACGGAGCGTCGTCGGACTTTTCAGGTGGCGGACCGCCAATCGTCTTCGTACCCCGCTGCGTTGCACACACCAACAACGGTGTCTCTTCACGACTACCGGTGGCAAGTTAGCCAGAGAGTACGACGAGGGCGAGTCGAGCCACCGGCCGCCGCTGAGGGAGTGGAGCCTGAAGGTCAGCCCCTTCAGCACTTTGCGGGCATGCCTGAGTTGCAGCATCTCTGTCCGGCCCCTGGACCCGCACGCGTTTCCCGAAGCGGACCGAGCCTTCGTCGCGGTCCACGGAGGGGACCAGGGAACGGACGTGGAGGACTTCTGTGTCCACTACGACGACCATGGCAAGGAGCTGTTCATCTCGGCGGAGAGGGCTGACAGCAGTTTGTCTGTCCATTTGTCTGTACCCATCAAGAGCAGTGAGTTCACAGTTCAACACAATGCAATATTACAGTACAATCGTAGGTAAGACTGTCTTAAGACTTCCCCACTTTTTTTTGCATTTAATCTTAATATTAAATGCAAATGCTGTGCACTTAAAACCTCTCTTAAAAATGAACCTTATTTATACCTGAAGAGTAAGAAATATACGGTATGCGAAAAGTTAAAAACAAGTGAACTGGAAAGGACTGAACATTAATACTGCGATTAATTGCGGGGGGGGGGTACTTAAATAATTCATTCATTTAATCATTTTTCCGATCCGCTTTATCCGCACAAGGGTCGCGGGGGGGTGCTGGAGCCTATCCCAGCTGTCTTCGGGCAGTAGGCGGGGGCCACCCTGAACCGGTGGCCAGGCAATCGCAGGGCACACAGAAACGAACAACCATCTGTGCTCACACTCACACCTAGGGACAATTTAGAGTGTTCCATTAACCTATGTGCATGCTTTTGGAAAGTGGGAGGAAACATGAGTACCTGGAGAAAACCCACGCAGGCCCCAGGAGAACATGCAAACTCCACACAGGGAGGCCGGAGCCGGAATCAAACCCTGCACCTCCGCACTGTCAGGTCGACGCGCTAACCACTGGTCCACCAGGCCGCCTACTTAAATAATAGTTCGAGTAAAATGTTTTGCACATCACAAAAAATCATTCGTACCGGAACATATATTAAAAAACGGGATGATTTATTGTACAGAAAATTATTCTGTTGTGAATTAACTTTAGTGCAAATAAATACATCAGTGCAGATGATGAATCATACATTCATGTAGATTAGTCATAGATTTTGACACGTTTGGAACATGTAATTGTGTGTGTGTGTGTGTGTGTGTGTGTGTGTGTGTGTGTGTGTGTGTGTGTGTGTGTGTCAGATCTCTTCATTCGCACCCACGCTGAAGGCAATGTGCAGGTGAAGAACATGGAGTGTGATATCTGCAAGGTGCACACAGAGAAAGGTGACTGCTCACTGCGTTCAGTCAAGGTCAGTCAAGAAAAACACACTCACTGGGGACACCTTTTATTAGGTGCACCTACACAAACCAATGACATCCAATACAAGCTAAGCTGTAGAAACAGCTGTCATAATGCAGTGATGTAGTTACACACCCCTCCAAACAACCACAATAAGAAACATCTACTTAAATCAATCCCTTTTTTTTGGTCGTGTCAAGGGAGAATATTTGATGACTTGTTGATTCCATTAGATCATAGGTATCAACCATATTTTTATCATAGGCCATATAGTGGGTACGGTTTCTCTCAGAGGTCTGTTATGACTGTGAAAATCATCAAAAGTGGTACCTTGGCTTCTTTTTTTAAAAACCCAAAATGTTTAACCAAACACTATTCACAGGCCAACAAAAAATTAGCGTAGATGTTACAGTAATTGTAAACCCCTAAACAACTGCTACTTAACACACAGAGTAGCAACATATAAGCAGAACATACAATACTAACAATGAAAAAAAATGAACCATGCTAAACTGTAACCTCAATTATTGCGTTATCAATGTATTTTTCCCCCTGGGGAAAAAAAAACACTTTAGTTAATTTAAGGCTAAAGCACAAAGCAAATGTAGATTTTAGTGACGACATGCACATGAACCCACTCACTGATTTTGTATGTGCACCTCAGGGCCATCTGGTGGAGGTGCGGTCAGGTGGAGATGTCACAGGCGAGGGCACCATCCATGGCAACGTGGATATCAGCGCTTTTGGCAAGGGTGTAAGGACAACACAACTTTAATGCATTTGAATAAACACAATCAGAAATACTCACCTACCTTTACAACATAAATTCTTAACTAATATTTGTTCCGTGAAAAAAAAATCTAATTTTCTCCTCACAGTCTATTCGCTTAATTTCGTAGAGTTTCTCTTGATTGCACTGCTTCCAGTACTTTTAGCATGGCTGTGAAATTTCCGCGGGTTCGCAGAATCCAATGGATTCTGTTGTGAAAAATATCATTTTCACAAAACCTCTATTTTTACATTAAAAATCATTGGGGGGAAGGGTAGGGGATCTACTTGGCTTTAATAGCCTTGCGCGGCGACCATGCCTCCTACACCGTGGGTCAATACAGCCAGACACGCGGAGTTTTATGCCAGCTGAGTGCAGAACATGTTTTGGCTGCAACTCAGCAAAGCAGACAAGAACTTAACGTGGGCTAAAAATAGCATGATTTTTTTTTTTTTTCAGTCAGATTTAGGCCTCAATGCATTACCAAACCTATAGCGCTGGCCCATGTAACTTAAACCTTTGTTTCCCAACTTTTATTGAGCCGAGGCGTAAATTTGAAAAGAGACTAGAAACACATTTGTTTGCACACGACCAAACAAAAATGTCACAAAAAGTGGATACACAGATTCATCACATTCTGCCATCTAGTGAAATAACATTTAATTGTTCTGACTGTCACTATATGTTATTGGCATAGATAGTTGAACAAAGACTCGAAATAATTTCCAGACCAATAAAAAAGAAAGGGCGTATATTTGCAAATGACACCAGCATTTTTCTGGTTGTTCAGAGCAAAACATGTGACAGCGTAGTTCCACGAGGAAAACATGTCTGTAGCCAGGTGCACACATTAGCACATCAAATAATCCGTATCTCTGGTTAGTATGATGTATTTTTATTCCATTTTTATTTATTCATTTGCCATAAATATTGATTCAAAACTGCTCCAGCTGATGTAAATGACACAGTTGCGCGATGTTATATTGTACAGTGTTGGTAGTTTCTACAAGTGGGATGTGATAGTGGCGCGATGAAGAGGTGGATTGAGTTTCCACTGAAGGCCCAGGTCCCAAACTTGTGGTCCGCCAGTGGCAGTAAAGGAACGCTAGGGGGAAGCAGCACCTTTCAATCCACACTACACAGATGAGAAGAGTCTTTGAGTGCCCTTCACTGCGCTGTGCTTGGGTTGTGCAGGCGGTGCGTGTCAAGAAGCTGCAGGGCTCCGAGATGAAGGTCTCCACAGAACACGGCCCTCTAGCGGTCAAGGCCGTCTACGCCGAATCCAGCTGCGTCTCCTCCTTCACGGGAAAGGTGGAACTGGGACTAATACACGGTGATCTGAACAGGCACATGTATTTTGCTGCCATGCCACTGGGTCAATTGAGGGGCGTGCACGGCAATTTTTGTCACATTGGGCCGTTATGACTGTGAAACCGTGTACACTGATACTTTGGTTTATGAGTGCCCCAATTTATGAGTGTTTCGAGTTATGAGCTATTGCTTGGTAGTTTTGTGTGCGTGTGTGCGCGTGCGCTATAAATATATATATGTGTGTGTGTATGTATATATATATATATATATATATATATATATATATTAAAACAAAAAATATTTTTTTGCATTGGATCTTATATTAGATCGTGCAGAAAAAAAAACAATATAAAAACGTTTCCCTAATATATTTGTTGGAAGATGGGAATGTACTCCTCGTCAGAGCAGAGAAGAAGTGCGTCACCCGTCCAGAATCTAAATCTCTCTTCCTGCAAGGCACATGTTGGAAACAATTATCTTGTTTACTTGCACTATTGTCACGAAGCCACACTGACTTTGTGTTCTATTCTGTCCAAAGGTGACGCCACTGTGAAGAACAGAGAAGGCCATACACTCATTGGTAAACATTTTCTGATAGCAGCACACAATGCAATGCTCTGTATTGTTGATCGAATGTGAGTTTTAATGTTTTTGTCAGATGGCTCCAATGGCCTCTTGATGCTTTCTTCTGAAAGTGGAGACATCGATGTATATGTGGGAGACGGCGCCAGCTCGGAAGTGCTCAGTCGGGAAGGTAGAAATATGCAAATTTTTCAGGTTGTGCAGTAAAGAACATATGCATTGTTTACTGTACCCTAGTACGGGACCTCAAATCCTTTTGTTCACCAGAATTAAGTCAGCAGCATGGTAGGGAGGGGCATTGCTATGACAGTAAGACCAGTTGGTGACACACAGTTATTGTATGACTGGCGTGCCTCAGGAGTCATGTACAAGTACTCCCCACTTACTATTTATGTGTGGCGTGAGTCATGAGGGTACTTCCTTTGTGTGACATTTCTTGAAAAGTACAATAAAATACAGATACTAGAAAAAAGACTGATAAACATAGAAAAAAGTACAGACTGAAAAATTATTTTTCTTTTTTTTAACAGTTAATTATACAACATTTTCTTCTCGGAAAATACCGCAGTACTACAAAAACTTGCATTAACTTGCATAGTGCACCAACTAGGAAGGAAAATAAAATTACTAGGACATGCTATGAAAACAATGTGCTCCCGTGGCTTTGCGAACAATGTGAATTGATGACCAAAACTGATAATTTAGTTCATAGCTGAATATAATACACCTCACATGGATGTGTTTTTTCAAATTAGATACATTTTAATAGCTAACCCTTCTGTGAACCTGTTGCAGTATATTATTTGTTAATGTTCTCTGGTTTGCATTCCGCCATGTTACCGCTATCTCCTTTTTTTCCACCTTTCAATCCCCACAATCTCAATCAGTCAAAATATCAATTGCCGTTGACTTTACAAATCTCTACCTATGCCTTTTTTTAGTGTTATTTTAATTTGCGGGATTTGGAAAAATAACAAGCCTCTTTGGACAAAGGTTTTTCAAATGTAGGATGTAAAACTAAATCAGGAATACATATTAGATACCTTAAAAAAAATCTACTCAAGTAGAGCAACAGAGTATATGTACATGATTACTTTCCACCACTGGCTTTTGAATCCCTTGTTTCTTACTGTAGGACAGGTTTGTGTCCGCGTGCCGTCTTCGTTACAAGCAGAGGTGGAGTTATGTGGTGTCACGGTTGACGTCAGCCATGATGTTATTCTGCACCAAGTCCAGGAGAACACTACTGAGAACCAAACCAGAGTCACTGGTGAGGAACTAGAGAGCATATTTTTCTTCACAGAGCCCAGAATGTGGGTTGGGGGAGGGAGAGAGACACACAAAAATAATCGACATTTTTTACTCATGGAGGCAGTAGTTCAAAACTGCATTGTTAATCAACCATGACATTCTTTCGTTCTCCATCTCTCCTAGGCTACATGAACACAGATGGTCCAGTAAGGCAGCGGATCAAAGTCACCACGGAAAGAGGCTCAGTCAGCCTGAGGACGCAAAGCTGGTTGCAGTCCTTGAAGCTGGGACGCTGAAAAGTTACATTGTGGCACTGCAGTGTCACTCACAGATGAATATAACCCATCGTGACTGTGAAGAGACTGAAATAATCACACCTCTGTGCAATCACATTTTTATTTAATAAAAAAAAAAAATGGTATTCATTACAGTAACATTGATTTCACTCAATAAGAAATAGTCTGAATAAGTCTTTGCATAGTAAAACTGCATGATCTAAAGATGCCATACATTCCCCAACAATGGGGTTAAGTGTTTAATTTGAGGTTTTGAGGTAAGCTAACATGATTTAAAGTACATATGAACACACACACACACACACACACACACCAAAGTATACAATATAGCAAAAATGACCTCTGCCAAGGTTATGTTCCTGTTTGTTTGCTGCCTTAGTAAACATGAACAATTACTGTAGGTAGTTGTTGGAGAGATGGTGTTTAGGCCTCAGTATATTCCTTTCCTAGAAGCCATTTATTGTTGTGGACCTCTGCATTATTTCCAACATTTTTCCTCACAATTTTTTTTTTTATTTTCCTTTCCACTTTGGTCAATAGTCCAATGACAAATCTTTTTTTTCTTTAATATCAATATCAAGTAAAAATATTTTTTCTCTCCACTTTCTTTCCATGTTTCACTGCTGTCCAATAAAATGAAGGAAATCTTTTTACATGTTTTATGTTCGTCCTGAGAAAGTCCTCATTTTTCATCACGGTCCAATGAAAATCCCTTTGGGATTATCAGGTTATTCTCCCTCTCACTATCGAAAGAAAATGACTTCTGGAGCATTTTAGCATTTTCCCAGTTGGTAGAGCATGGGCCTCTTAGTCTCAGGGAACATTGGGTGTTATTTGATTTTTTTTTTTAAATTTTTATTCTGCTGCAATGGTCAATTAAAATCTTGGTTTGACTGCTTTTCAGAGACCGGCTAGCTCAGTCAGTAGAGTGTGAAATTCTTAAACTCACGGTTGATGCGCCACTGCTTTTTATTCTTACACTGTCCAATAAAAATCACTGTTCAAGTGCAGTTTAGAGCCTGACTTTATCAGGGTCGTCGGTTCGACCCCCACGTTGAGCGTTACTTAATCTTTTGTATGTTTATCTGGCCCCCGATTCATGCTGTTACACTGTCCAATGGAAATTTCAGTGTGTGTGTCTGTGTGCGTATTATTAATATTCTACATTTTTGTGTTAGTGCACACTGAAATCTAAGCATCCTTTCAGTTTCATTTTCACAAAAAGTATTTAAAAATAAAATATTTATTAACCTATGGCGGCGCGTGACCTGCATCACCGGAAGTTGTTAGCGGTCAGCTGGCTGCACTTGCATCTTGCGATTACAGTTCTAGCCATATATCTTTTTAATTTGTATTATTCTAATTCAAAGTTTGTTTCGCGTACAATTCACCGATGGCACTTGCAAAGAATGGGAATCTGTAATGCCAGGAGAAACATTTTAAAACGTTCGTGAGCTACGATTGTGACGTTGTTGCACTGAAGACGCTGCCAAAGTGCGTCCCATGCTGCCGCGTCAGGTCTCGACTTAGGTAAGCACTGATTCCTTTTCTCAAACTCACAAGCTCTTGTATCGACTTTATTTTTTTCTGTTTCGTTTGTGTTCTGGGCCCTTATGGCTGTTGCTCATCATGGCATGCGTGTGTGTATGCGTGCACGTGCGGGAGGTCGGTTGCTTGAAAAGTCGATCTTCGGTCAAAAAAGGTTGGGCACCCCTGTATGTTACACTGTCGTTTGAAAATCACGCTCACACCGAGGGACAATTTCGAGTGCTCAATTAACGTATCATGCATGTTTTAGGAACGTGGGAGGAAAACAGAGTACCCACGCAGGCACAGGGAGAACATGCAAACTCCACACAGGGTGGCCGGAGCAGGAATCGAACCCTAAAACTCTGCTTTGTGAGGCCGACCTGTTGCGTCATTGTCCAATATAAATCTCAAATTTTCCTGCTTCCCTACATTTTTCATCATTGTCATATGAAATTTCAATTTGTCTTTCTGGCCAACATTTTCTTGTTATTAGGATGACAATCAAATGTGTAACACTTGGAAATGCTAATCATTCTTCATTGGACAGCAATGTTTTCATTCATTCAAAGTTGCATTTTTACAATAGAAAAGTGGTCCAGAAAATGGATGGATCTTAATGAAAGAAAAAGTCAGGTTTCTGTGGAAGTGCCAAATTAGGATTGTTTGGGCCTTGGCAGAGGTCTGAGCTCTACTGAGTTCCTTGTAGGCTTCACTGGTGCGATTATCAATACCATGCCATTCTTTGTGCGCACAGATTGCTTTATCGAAGCCACAATTTGGTTTGTTCGTTGCTGTACTCCCAGTGCTGCACATAAGGTTGTAGCCTCATGGCAGCCTCCCTGAAAAAAAACACACACACACACATAAACATCCAGTATGCACAAGAAGTGGTGTACACTTGTGAATTTTGACACTCAGTTCCTTAGAAAACAGCTTGAATTTCTTGTGAGTAGTGCAGATTGATGAAGTACTGTAATTTTTTTTTCTTCAGTTCTTACTCTGAGATGCGGTTGCAGCCGTGCATAGTGATTGATGAGAGTGGCGGGCAGAGCCTCTCGATGTATCTGATGGCGCGATCAGTTAGGGTACAGCCGCTCACGTCCAGCTCTCGCAGGTACTGGGCTGCTCCATGTGAAAGGCACTGCATTGCCATATCAGTTACCTGTGAAAAACAAACAATAGTCGTGAAATTGAGACCCCATAATTTTTTTTTTGGAGAGGGTATTATGTGGGGGGGGGGGTATTATAGAGGCGCCGGATACAATGTTTGCTCAGCAGCGTCTCCTGGGAAGGTGGGAAAAAAAACTACTCCAAACACCACTTTCACCGATCGAGACCAAATTAGGGTTGAATGTCATTATGATAGGAAACATGAATAAAATCTCTAAGACCCATGCCTAGAATTCAACAGGAAGTTGACCATTTTGGTTTAAAGCGGCATTCTGGACGTATTCCAGGGCTCGTACTCCAACTAGGGAATTCAGCCGAACAAGGCCCAATTGGGACCAGATATCCTCGACAGATGGGTGACAAAGCTTTTATGTGGGAAGGGCATGTCATTTTAAAATGTATGATTCTTTCGTGGGCCTGTTCATGGCTGCCCTCAATTTTAATTTGTAGTGGCTCTCATTAGATTGTACATGACTAGTGAGTGTGTATATTGTATACCTTTAGACAGCCTGCCACCCGCAGTGTGAGCAGGCCTCTGCAGTAAAATGAAAAGGCTTTGACCGCCTGGTCGGACAGTTCCAAGCAGCCAGACACGTCGACGTACTCCAGATCTGTCAAGTACTTGCACAAATTCTACTCCAGAGAAAACGTATAGAGAAATAATTAATTGTGGGATATTAAACATTCATCCAAACATAACACTGTCTGCAGCCACAGGAATGATTTGAGATTTGTAACTTTAATTTCTTATGTTCTGCTGGAAAATGTAGCAAGTAGGTCAATACATAGTTGCAATTGCGAGGTGATCAAATATTTAGCAGTTTATAGTCACATAGGGATAGATTGACAGGTGGGTAGATTTGAAGAAATGTACAGTATGTTGGTGGACTCAAGGTTTGTACCTCCATACCAACATCTGTGATGTTGATACATTCGGCAATAATCAACCTTTTCAAGGGAACCTCCTCGAGAGCAGCCAGGCCCTAAAAATACAACATCATAAATATATATACAAAGTCTGCGACACATTTGTGGGAATAAGCAGCATGCAAGTACTGTACGTCGTCTTGAATGTTACAGCCGCTGATGTCCAGAGAGCTGATGGAACTGCCCATTAAATACTCCAGAGCGACATCAGTAAGCTGCTCGCAGTAGCTCAAGTTCAGATGGGACAGCTTGGTAAACCTAATCAGGCCATGACAAAACAAGCTGAGTTGACTATGTGTGTGTTTATGTGTGTGTGTGTGTGTGTGTATGTGTGTGTGTGTGTGTGTGTGTGTGTGTGTGTGTGTGTGTTTACATCTGAGATCAAATTTGCTACAGTGAAAAACCCCCTGTTGTGAAAAATTTCTTGCTGCAAACATGATTTAGTTGTAGAGGAGTTGTGTTTTGACTGTTTGAGCAAGAATGTCTGCGTGTGTGAGTGCAGAGTGTAAGAGTGGAAGCGACTGTATGATTGAGTAAAAGTATATGTGAGCATGTATGTATGAGTGAAAGCATATCAGAGTCTGAGAGAGGACATGCAAGAGTAAGTGTGTGTAAGAGAGGGTGGAAGTGAAAGAGCTGGAGAGAGTGACTTTGGGAGAAAGTATGCAATAGTTTGAGTGAGTGTGTTCAGTGAGTGTGAGGCAGTGTGGGTGGGTGGGCGTGTGCCTGAGGGCGAGAGAGAAATCGTGAGAGTGAACATGTTGCGGATGTGTGAGAGTGAGTGCGTTGGATAATGTGAGAGAGAGTGAGAGTGAGTGTGTGTGATTATAGTGTGTGTGTGAGAAGAGTGAGAAATTTTGCGATAGTGTGGGAAATTGAGACCACGTGAGTAAATGAGTGTGAGAAAATGTGATTGGAAGGTGTGACAGAGTGTGTGAGTGTTCGGAGAGTATGTATGTTGGAGGGGGGGGGGGGGGTGTGTATGTGTGTGTGTGTGTGTGTGTGTGTGTGTGTGTGTGTTTACATCTGAGATCAAATTTGCTACAGTGAAAAACCCCCTGTTGTGAAAAATTTCTTGCTGCAAACATGATTTAGTTGTAGAGGAGTTGTGTTTTGACTGTTTGAGCAAGAATGTCTGCGTGTGTGAGTGCAGAGTGTAAGAGTGGAAGCGACTGTATGATTGAGTAAAAGTATATGTGAGCATGTATGTATGAGTGAAAGCATATCAGAGTCTGAGAGAGGACATGCAAGAGTAAGTGTGTGTAAGAGAGGGTGGAAGTGAAAGAGCTGGAGAGAGTGACTTTGGGAGAAAGTATGCAATAGTTTGAGTGAGTGTGTTCAGTGAGTGTGAGGCAGTGTGGGTGGGTGGGCGTGTGCCTGAGGGCGAGAGAGAAATCGTGAGAGTGAACATGTTGCGGATGTGTGAGAGTGAGTGCGTTGGATAATGTGAGAGAGAGTGAGAGTGAGTGTGTGTGATTATAGTGTGTGTGTGAGAAGAGTGAGAAATTTTGCGATAGTGTGGGAAATTGAGACCACGTGAGTAAATGAGTGTGAGAAAATGTGATTGGAAGGTGTGACAGAGTGTGTGAGTGTTCGGAGAGTATGTATGTTGGAGGGGGGGGGGGGGGGGG